TCAGCCCACTATACCAAGAAGTATGTTAAGTATTTGACTAGTTATTAGAGACAAAAGCACTCTGTATAATCTTAAATTTCATTGGACGAATTCTGCCTATACTAAGTGGATTGCATATCTTATAAACATTTTAAAAAATCTGAGAAGATCTCTTTTTTTTACTTGAGGTCATTTTTGAGGATTTTTTGCTTCAAATTAATAAACTTGACTAAATAAATATCCGCTCATAGACTGTTTTCATAACTTCTAGAATTTCTAGAGAGAAAAAATGATTTTTTTTTTCGATATTAGAAATTATTTACTATCATATTATTATGATAATAGTAGATTCGAATGTCATTCAAAAAATCATCGAAAAACAAACTAAATATATTTATATCATGTAGGTTAAGAAATTCTACGAAAGAATTTCTAAGTTATATTATATCAATCCGATATTATTGTTCTTATTTTCATTATTGCTTTAAGAAATATATTTAAGTATGATAATAATTTCTTTTCGTTACCAAGAAAACAGATCTAAAAACAATTTAGAATTCGGAAAAAATCAAAAATTGTTTTTTTTGATAAAAGTATAACGAGTTTTCATCAATTTTAAGGAAGTTTTTTTAGTCTAATGAAACTACTTAATGTATTAAGATGATATTGTATCACAAGTATCAAACATGGCTGATGAATGATAGTTTATGCTTAATTGAAAAAAGGATTTACTTTTATAAAAAAAAAGTTATACAATTAAAAGAGCAGCTCAGAGACAAATCCTAATTAATGTATTATAGAGGTCGTTTTTCAACCTCTATCATGAAAAACTTAAAGTGCACACGACTTTAAGCATCTTGATATTTCATTTCATCATTTTCTTTTCTTCTTTCGAACATCCTATACGACACGAAAATGAGCTGAATATCGCTGAAAGAATCGTAAGATTTCCTTTTCAAATTCTAATACTAAACTAGAACATAGAAATCTCCTTAGAATTTCATGCTAAGCAGTTTTCTCTTCCTCGACATCGAAAGCATTTCCTTACGATGTGCTTGTTTTTTAAAGACTACGTTACAGAAACACTGTCTCATTTATAGTACTTTCTCGTGTATGAGAGACAAAAATCTCTTCAATAATGACGATCTCTTTTCTGTTTCGTTCATTGTAGTAATTCCTAATATTCCAGAGAAGGCGTCCTGGGTACTGATTAGGATCGACATTTGTGTACTAAACAGAGATGAGCAACTACACTCTATCTCTCTCCAACTCCACATAACTCCAGTCCTATTTTCTAAGATCCTACTTCAACTTCAATTTAACTTCAATTCCAGTCGGATTTTACAAAATTGAACTTCTGCCAAAACACTTTTAAATACACATAAGGTTTTGAACATAATTAAATCTACGATTGATATAAATTAGTAGCATATTAATTTATTGTTTTATAAACTTTCTCATAAAATTTAAAGATAGGCACCTCCATTCTGTCCTGTTCCAACTCCATTTTCACTCTGATGAGAAAAAGCATCAACTTCGGAGTTGAAACTGCCCATCTCTGATATCAACCATTTCAAAATACTTACTCTTCAGATCCTCCTGAACATATCTATAATATGCGAGCTTACAGAAGACTTCTCAGAACAAGTACTACATAAGGGTTATAGCATGATCCTCATAGAAGATACTCATTATTTTTAGATTTTCAAATCCCATAAAATCCATAGATCCCAATGTTTGTCACTGGAGAACTCCGTTAGGATTGACATCCATCTTTTCAACATTTGCAAAAGTAGAAACCCTCTCAGATTACATAGATTCGCGTGGAATCCTCTCAACTTTGTTCAATTTCGCCTGTATCCAAACCTTCTCATGATCTTACTCAGAGTACATCACGGTTGTTCTTCGAAAAGCTTGACAGAACTTACCAAAAGCCTTATAAAATTTCACCGGCATTCTCTATGCAAATACTTAGGAGATTCTTCGACAGATCGACATTCATCATACAGAAAATCATGTATCCTTAAGGTTTCCTAAAAAACATAGGGATTAGGTTTGATATTTTGTTGTTCAACGATTCGATATTCTTCTCACAAGATACAGATAGAATCTTCTCTGATGTTCATATAAATGATCATTCTGCCAAAAAGATTCTAAATTCTTGCAATTCTGAAAAAATCCTCAGATCCTTATGTTTTTCTATCAAAAACTTACACGGAATTAGTATTACTCTTTCTTGGAGAACCACCTTACAACAATCTCAAGGTGTTATTTTTATGATCAAAAAGATCTTGGCAAGACCTAGAAGTAACATAGATGTAAGAATCGTTACCAATTCCTTTTTTTCTCTTAGGAAACTAAGAAAAGACTTCTGAATTTTTATCTGCGAAACGAGCATTCTCAAAGACGAATGTCGTATTTGTAGCACGTACTCCCACGAAAGACGAGATCTCTTCGATAACGACGATTTCTTTTCTTTTTTGTTCGTTGTAGTAATTCCTAATATTCCAGCCGATGCCCGTTGGAAACAGAATGGAGTGACTGTTGCTGGTGGTCATGGAGAAGGCAGTGCCACCAAACAACTCAACAGGCCTTTTGGTCTCTTCGTTGATGATGATCAAACGATTGTCATCGCTGACTTCAACAATAATCGTATCATCCAATGGAAGAAGAGAGATACGAATGGACAAGTAGTAGCTGGTGGCAATAGCGAAGGAAATCGATTGGATCAATTGAATTTACCAACAGATGTGTTGATCGACAAAGAGACGGATAGTCTCATTATTTGTGATGCGTGGAATCGACGAGTCGTACGATGGTCTCGTCGTAGTGGTACAATTCAAGGAGAAATCCTCATCGACAACATTGTTTGTTATGGATTGGCCATGGATGATCAGAGATATCTCTACATCTCTGACGTGGAAAAACATGAAGTAAGACGATATCAAATAGGAGACAAGAATGGAACTATTGTGGCTGGTGGCAATGGCTATGGTGCTGGTCTCAATCAACTCAACTTTCCGACCTACATCTTTGTCGATCAACAACAGACTGTCTACGTGTCAGACTGGGACAATCATCGTGTGATGAAATGGAATAAAGGTGCAAAAGAAGGAATTGTCGTCGCTGGAGGTCAAGGCCAAGGGAATGCTCTGACACAATTGTCGTATCCTAGTGGACTCTTCGTCGATACATTGGGTACCATCTATGTGGCAGACTCGGATAATCATCGAGTGATGCGTTGGTCTAAAGAAGCGAAACAGGGCACTGTCATTGTGGGTGGAAACGGTAAAGGAAAAGGAGCAAATCAGTTCCAATACCCCATTGATTTGTCCTTCGATCGTCATGGTAATCTCTATGTCGTCGATAGTGAGAATAATCGTCTTCAACGCTTTTCAATTGAATAGACTCAAAACGATGGATTATTTTTTTTGCGTTCCTTTCCTTTCAAATAAATCGCATTGAATTGATGAAATGAATGTCTATTCTATTCGCGCGCGCGACCAGGAACCATCCTGGTGGAGCCGTGGCGAGCGTAACGCTCATGCACGCACAGGACAGACTCATATCATTCATACCCTCCCCGCGAGAGATATGTCAATGAGTCTGGATAAGCCTGGTCGTGTGCCACGGACACCAAGACAGTTCCTGGCCGAGCTTTTAGGGACTACCCGGAAGTCCTTCATAAAAGACGAAACCCTAACCCTCAACGGGCAGAACTCATCCTCATCTCCCACTAACACTCACTATGCTAAGGCTCACCCTAACCTCGCTCAATCTCATCTCAAAAAAAAAAATAATAATAATAATTACTCACGTATTTTGGTGTTGGACGATGACAAAGACGGCACGATGATGTTGAGGACTAAAAGAAAAAAAAATTATTAATTGCAGATAAATGTATCGAAAAGAAAAGAATAACTTACCTCACTATTATCTGTTTCGTTGACTTTCCAATACCTAAAATCAAGAAAAAAAATTAATTAAAAAAAAATCCACTTACTTGAAAAATTTAATAACTATAACAAAAAAAATGTATAAAAAGAATCAAATCAATAAGAAAAAAGAAAAAGAAAAACGATTAAAACTTATACCTACATTTTTTTAATTGCATTGTATTGTCTTGTTTTGTTTTCTTTGGTATCGTCGATATTGGTCTAAAATATAAAGAAAAATTATTAGTATTTGATTCAATAAATTGAATGATTCTACATAGAAAATCATTCATATATATACTCTCGAAAAGATTATTGGGAGAAAAATTCAATTCTTTTTTTTTTAGTGTGTGATTAATAGACGTCTAAAATTAAGCTTTCATCGGGTCACACACATACATTGAGATATAGTCAATCACAGATATCTCAATGTAT